TTGCCTGCGGTTATTCCTGTGTAAATGCATTTTGTACAGAAGTAACCGACCCCGTAACAATATCGGGGCCTAATTTAGTAGGCCCTCTTTGTCAGACAAATATTCGTCGAAATCAGCCTTATATTTTACCATAAAAATCAGGCATTTGAAGAAAAAGAGGGGTGACTTGAAAGGCAGGGAAAGAATCACTCAGACCCATTTTGGCTATTTAGTGGTCTGGGCCATCTTTAGATGTATGCGTTTACGAGCAGGTTTCGATTGTGCAGAAAGTACAGCAACTGCATTACCATCTCTGACTTATCATTGGATAATCACAGCCCACTTTATCACTCCGGCCGAAACTGTGGTCTCTTACATCATTTATTTCGCTTCATTATAGCCCTGGCAACGATCAGTTACTCGTAAGTGAGCTCCGTCTATATAGAATCTATGGCAGTAAGTATAGCCACAGGCATTTTGAACACTTCTGCAACTGTTACCATATGACTTTGGGTGCTACTCTGGACATAGTCAAATTCAGCCATGTTGTCGAAATTCCATCATTGAACAACTCTGATTGGCTCGGATTTTCTGACTTCTCTGATTGGCTTAAAAGGCTGCAATTATAAAATTTGACAAGATGACTGAATCTTACAGGGTCTAGGATCACACCCTATATGTGTCCTTTTATTTTACCCGTTTAGTGAATCGCCATTTCTGAACCTTATTTTAATAGTTACAGCTCTTGTTCAGGGTGTTTATTTATTATAAGTACCCGGCTACCAAGCTTTGTTTTTCAAACAAAAAAAAAAAACACCATGTCCCTAGTCACTCTGCAAAAATATCTGTTCTCTGACTGCTCTTTGTCGTTACTAATGAAAGTGCTATGAGACCCAGCCCTCACATAGTAAACGTGTATAGCGCTGCAATAGAAAGTTTGCAGCAAGCGTAGTAAACCACTGTACGCAAAGCAGTTTACTTATAGCAGAACACTGGCTGCAAACTGCCGATGCATGTGCAATACTAGAATGAGAGGGAGAGAAATAATTGATTGATATGTGGGGTTTAACGTCCCAAAACCACCATATGATTATGAGAGACGCCGTAGTGGAGGGCTCCGGAAATTTAGACCACCTGGGGTTCTTTAACGTGCACCCAAATCTGAGCACGCGGGCCTCCTTCATTTTCACCTCCATCGGAAATGAAGCCGCCGCAGCCGGGATTTGAACCCGCGACCTGCGGATCAGCAGCCGAGTGCCTTAGCCACTAGACCACCGCAGCGGGGCAGAGGGAGAGAAATAGATGAAGAGAATAATGTAGGAAGGTTAACCTGGTACAGCTAACCGGTATGCTACCCTTCATTTGCGTGAGCAAATAGGGGTTGTAAAACGAAGACAGAAAGACAAATAGATAGGGAGAAAATACCGGCAGTGTTGTATATGCCAGATACGCTGGAAAACATGGCTGCACTACTCAAAGGTATTGTCATCCATCTCGAATGGATGAAGTCGTCTTCACTTGCTCTCTAGACCGGAAGTTACGAGCTCATGCTTGTGTTTACATCAAGGTTAGTGTCCCGAAGCTTTTACAGAAAAGTATTGGTGGCTATTCGGCACTGTTTCTGAGAGCCATACTAAAATTGTTGGTGCTGCAGGTGTTGCCATTTGCTGTATTGACTAAACATGAATCCACGCAGTCGCACGCATACGGTAGCGCACGCAGTAGCGCACGCAGTATGCAGCAGCGTTACAGCACAAGTACTGCCTGTATTTAGAAGGACATGTATTGCGAATGTAAATGTTCTGTTTATTGCCTGTATTTGGCAATAAACACCACCTTCGAGTTTTGTTTATTAAATAGCTCCAACAATAACGCAAAGACAATAAAAGCAAGAAAAATAATTACGTTACGCACAATAAACATGGCTCAGCTTTGTCTGCAATGTTCTGGTTTGCAAAAACAAAGTCAAGCTCATTGTTTTCTACTTCACGCATAAACAAACGTGGTGACTAGGCGGGCGTTTTGGACATATTTTGGGCGTTATTGCGCAGAAACTCGCTTGTAAAGCATTTTCCGGTAATCTCGTTATAGCACTTCAGTCATTCGCAGCAATTTGGCGCGTTTTAAAGGCCGGAAAGGCTGTAAAACACTAATTAAGAGCACCTAGCATATGTTTTGGGTAGCAAACTCAGTTTTCGGCTTTTGTTGGCAACAAGAATAAAACACACTGTACACATTTCGTTTTAAAGTTATGGCTCCGGTCTTGTTAGCTCCTGCAAGACCAAAAATAATACTAAAACTACCACTCGGAAGGTTTATTTATTTTTTTTTATTTATTTAAGGAATACTGCAGACAGTTTTTCACCATCCTAGCAGGAGAGGGTTACATAAGGTTCCTAACACAGAGGTCAAAACTAGAAGAAGTCGGAGCATGCACGCAGTCGGAAGGCAGTGAATTCCAGTCTTCAATGGTTCTTACAAAAAAGGAGTACTTGAATGTGTTATTTTTAGGAGCATATGGTCTTACAGTTTTTGAATGATTTAACCTTGCTGAGCGCTGAGGAGGTGGCAGAATGTACAATTCTTTATTTAAACCAGATTCATTGTTGTATAGTTTATAAAAGAAGACTAACCTTGCAATTCTTCGCCTACATTCAAGTGGTTCCAGCTCACATTTATTTAACATTTCTGAAACGGAGGAGAGGCGCCTAAAGTCTGAAAAAATGAACCGTGCGCTTAGCCGCTGAATCCTTTCCACTTTATCTATGTCTTTCTTTAAATATGGGTCCCACGCAAGGGATGCGTATTCTAGCACTGGTCGAACTAGGGTTTTATAGGCTGCAAGTTTAACTTTCCAATCACATGACCTCAGCTTCCTTCTTAAGAAGCATAGCTTCTTGTAGGCCTTGGCGCAAACGTTGTCGATGTGAGCGTCCCAACTTAGTTTCGTATTAATGGTCAATCCCAAATATTTTACGGAATTAACAAATTCAATACTTTCGTTACGGACATGGTATTTATGTTTAAGAGGAGTTTTCTTGTGTGTTACTGTAAGAGCGAAAGTTTTTGAGTAGTTAACAACCATCTGCCATCTCTCACACCAGTCAGCAATTTTGCACAAGTTGTCGTTAAGCAATGATTGATGCAAGGGGCTACTGACCGTTGTATAAATAACACAGTCGTCTGCAAACATTTTCACAGTCACTCCCGCGTCAATATCATCGCAAATATCATTCACATAGATCAAGAACAAGAGTGGTCCCAAGACCGACCCCTGGAGCACTCCTGATAATACATCAAGGTTTTGCGATTGGTAGCCGCTAACTTCTACAAACTGCGTTCTGTTTTTCAGATACGCAGAAATCCAGTCCACGAGGCGGGGAGCAATCCCTACACGCTGCATTTTTCGTATCAGTAAAGAGTGCGGTACCCTATCAAAGGCTTTTGATAGGTCCAAAAATATTGCATCTATTTGTTTTCTGTCATTGATAGCATAAGCAAAGTCGTGTATGACTGATACGAGCTGGGTCGTCGTTGATAACTTTTTTCTAAACCCGTGCTGGAAGCTGCCTAATATGTTTTTTGATTCCAAGAACGAAGTTATCTGGCTGGAGAGGATGTGCTCAAGTAGTTTACAGCAACTACCGATTAACGATATTGGCCTGTAGTTCGAAGCGAGCAGTTTGCTTCCATCCTTGTGTACTGGGACAATTTTTCCACACAACCAATCAGGAGGTAGGCATCCGTCATCCAAAGATTTGTTGAACAAAATATATAAGTAATGTGAAATAATGTCCGCATAACGCTTCAAAAAGGCATTAGGGCTACCGTCAGGGCCAGAAGACTTCTTGGTATCAAGTTTTAGAAGAAGAAGGCGAATACCATTAACATTTAAATCTATATCCGGCATTACGTTGGGCGAGAGAGGAGATGGTTCCGTCGGATTATTGGTTAAACTCTGTTGACTGAACACACTGTGGAATGTTCTGTTTAGCTCATTAGCAATTGCGTAAGGATCAGTAACTGTGCAGCCGTCAACGCGAAGCTGTTCAACAGATTTTTTGTTTCCGGACAAGTATCCCCAAAACTTTTGCGGAGCGTTTTCCATGAAGTTAACAAGTGTCGTTCCAAAAAAATAATCTCGAGCAGTCCGTATTTTGTGCTTCAGTGTTACTGAGAGGGAAGATATGGCCTGGTTATCTTTACGCGCTGCTTTACGTTTTCTTGATATTGTTCTTTTCAATTGTATTATATCACGTGTTATCCAGGGGTTGCACCGTTTCTTTTTCTGAAATTTTGGTACGAATTTATCAAGACACGATGCAGTAACGTTTTTAAACGTATTCCACAGACTTAATACGTCTCCTCCTGCCTCAAAGTCACCGAAGCACAAACCAAGTTTATCTATAATAGCTTCGTCATTTGCAGCAGAAAAATTAAAGACACTCTTGCTCGCAGAATTCTTTTTGTCAGGCAGAAATTCGCGGTAAGTAAAACCAGCTTGTGATCAGAGATTCCATCATAACACTGACCTTAGTGTCATCTGGAAAGTTTCCAACAAATAGAAGATCTAGTACACTTTCAGTGCCTCGAGCAACTCTGGTAGCATCTTTAACAAGTTGAACGAGATTAAAGTTCAGCATCAATTCAAGCAACAAGTTACAGTTTGCTACGTCTGTTGAACCTGGGTGAAGAGTGTTCCAATCAATTGATGGTAGGTTGAAGTCCCCCGCTAATATGACTTTTTGATTAGGCTTGCACTTCTGCTGCATGTAAGATTGAATGTTTTCCAAAAACGACTCTGGCGAAGAAGGGGGCCGGTAGACTACACCTACGAGAGCCGAGAGCCCACGAAAATCAATTTGACACCATACACTTTCATTGTCGATTATTTCGTCCATAGTTATGCAAGTGATTTCCTGTTTGACCACCAAAGCAACGCCTCCTCCTCTGCAGCCTTGATCACGTCGAACCATTTTATGAGTTGGAGGAACTATTTCAGAATCTAGAATGTCCGGAGTTAGCCAGGTCTCTGTAATTGCTATGATTTGGGGATCATAGGTAAATATGATTTCTTCAAGCTCGTGAACTTTATTGACAATGCTCCTAGAATTAAGGAGAACAACTCGCAATTGTTTGTGATCGGGTCATTCGTCGCGGTTACGTTGCGGGCGGATACATTTCAGGCAATCCTTCTGCTCATCCCATTCGTATATATCATCGTCCACTCTCAGCTTATCGTAATCGAGCGATACTTTGCGACCTTGCGCCCTAAAATCATTGGAATGAGACCATAGTTTGCTGCGCTTTGCTATAGTGGCCTTGCAGAAGTCATGGTTTACCGAGATTTTTGTTCCTTTCAGTTTGTGACAGTTTTTTAACACTTTAAGCTTCTCGTTGTAGTCAAAAAAATTCATTATTACCGGTCGCACTTTATCGTGGCATTTTTTCCCAACCCTATGTACTCTTTCCACAGAGTTAACAACCACTCCGAGTTTATCTCCTATCAGTTCCTCGATTATCTTCTTTCTGAATTCTGTAGCATTTTCACGATCCGGTTCAGGAAAACCAAAAATAACAAGATTGCGGCGTCTGCTTCTATCTTCTAAATCATTTAGACGCCTTTGGTGTAGTTGAAGATTACCTTTCAACGCTGTAACTTCAGTCTGCAGTGCCTTGATCTCTACTTTCTGTTTTTTTATTGCTACCATAACATCGTCCATTCGGGCATTAACCGTAGATTCTAGCTTATCGTGAGCAGTAGCTAAATTTTCGATTTTTTTTTTTCAATTCTTCCTGGGAAGCAAGCATAGTGTTCATCATTTTTATGAGATCGTCTGTATTAGGCCCGGGATTCTGCTCAACATCCCCCGCAAGAAGAATCAAAATGACCGTCCATGCGTCCACAAAAAGACATGCACAAGTCGCCGGGCACGGCAGAACCACAATTCCTCTACAATCGCTACGAAAGCTGGTATAAAAGTGTTTGCCACCAACCTGGGCGAAAAATACAGAAGGGTATAGCGATGTTGCCATTGCGGTCCCGCCGTGCCCTCTGAAGAAGTCGTTGATGCGGTTGTTTTTATATGCTTGAGCAGGGGGCGTTGTTTCCAAGAAGTTGGATTCCGGTGACGTCATGTGCTGCGTCCACGGGATTGGCCAGTCGGAGTTCACTGTTGGTAGATCCAGGCTGCTGTTGTCATTCTTCGGTGTGAATGACACGTGCTGAGCAAGGGCGCACAGCGTAACCTGGGCGAAAAATACAGAAGGGTATAGCGATGTTGCCATTGCGGTCCCGCCGTGCCCTCTGAAGAAGTCGTTGATGCGGTTGTTTTTATATGCTTGAGCAGGGGGCGTTGTTTCCAAGAAGTTAGATTCCGGTGACGTCATGTGCTGCGTCCACGGGATTGGCCAGTCGGAGTTCACTGTTGGTAGATCCAGGCTGCTGTTGTCATTCTTCGGTGTGAATGACACGTGCTGAGCAAGGGCGCACAGCGTAACCTGGGCGAAAAATACAGAAGGGTATAGCGATGTTGCCATTGCGGTCCCGCCGTGCCCTCTTTGAGTCTGCGCCTAACAGAACTTGTTCGTTCACTGTCAATAACCTCAAGGGGTGACGTTCATGCGTTGGCGGACATTGCGTAATGCTTTTGCGAGAGTTGCGAAGCTCTCCAGAACGACAAGCGAAACGTATGCGCCCACCGAAACGATGAAGCAGCTGGGATAGATGACTACGAGTAGCAGCAATCCCTTTCAAAAGAAAAAGTGTATAATGCAAGGAGTCACTATATTTCTTACACTGTATTGTTGTCTTTGAGTTCATTGGTAATCCCTGTTGAAGGACGAGGAATGACATGCCGGCGCAACAAGGCGGCAGATACGCGGAAGACGCGAGAGGCGCCATCCACTTTGACAAAGATTCATTAGCACAAAAATGCTTCACCATGAAGGCTAACTGATACTTATTGACAGCTCGCGGGAGGCCTCGTGACTTAGCAAACGTCCTCGCCACCAGTTATGCCTGCGTGTGTTCTGACAGGTCTTACTTTACTTGATAAGCAGTGCAAGTGCTTAGAAAATGAGGAAGCATTTTTAAGGGCTGGCCTGTAGGCATAGGAAACTCATTCCAATTTCTTACCAGCGAATACAATTGACCCCTAACTTCTGTGTAAAAACACCCACTTCAAGACATTATGAGGATTACGATACACCACAAGAACATTACTTGCAAACAATTTTTTAAGTGGTTTGTGTGGGCCTTCTGGAAACAAAGAGAAGTATCTAAGATAGCAAAGCAGCTTACTTAATCACAAAGAAATTTTACTAACAATATTTCAACTGAATTTTGTTTAAAACTTTCGTGGAGAATTGTGCATTGCGCGTTCTCCAGTCAACCAGTCACCCATGGCTTTGCAGCGGCCGTCAATGCAGCCTCATGACAGCGTTCAGCCCAGCACGCAAAGTGGTGCTTTTCTTTCTTCCTTTTTTTTTTCGCTGCTGGGGATGGTGGTGAGGTACGAAGGAGAAGAAACAGCTCTGAACTGACTTCTGATGGACGTTAACACGGATGAATTACGCCAGATAGTGCGCGAGGCAAACAGCTAGAGAAATAACACTGACGAGAAAAGAAGGTCTTGGTGGAGAGTAGAGCCAGAATCCCGTTGTACTCGAAATGCAGCGTACAAAGGCAGAAGCATGTACGAGTTAGTAGTAGCAGTTCATGGTGCCCATTACAGTCGTTTCATTGACGCAAGACGAACAAGTTTTTGCGCAAGTGAATAACAAAAAAGTGATAATAGAAGGGACTTGATCATCATCATCAGCCTGACTGCGTCCCCTGCAGGGAAAAAGTGTCTCTGATGTTCTACCAGTCAATCCGGCCTTGTGCTTGCTGCAGCTACATTACACGCACAAAATTCTTAATCTCATCTTACCACCCATCGTGGGTTTGCCTTTTTTTTGGAGCTCCCTCTGTCAAGGACCAGCAGGTTACCAAGGTTACTAAGCTTACTAAGGTCTTGTCTAAGCGCAACATGCCCTGCTATGCCAATTTCTTCTTCTTGATTTTGACTAAGATGTCATTAACACGCGTTTGTTCCCTGACTTATTCTGATCTCTTCTTGTCTGTTAAGGTTACACATATTATTTTCGCTTTCATAGCTTGCTGTGACGAACTCAATTTAAGTTGAACCTTGTTCAGAAGGCAGCATGTTTCTGCTTCGTAGGTATAGGTATCGGTAAAATGCAGCTATTATATACGTTGCTCTTGAGGCATTGTAATAAATACCATTCATGACTTCAAAATGCCTGCACAATGGCTTCATTCCATTTTTGTTTATCTAGTTACTTCATTCTGAAGTTTCGCTTTCGCGGTGACTGCCTATATTATGTAGACATGTTCCGTTACCACTTCCAGAGCCTCATTACCTATCGCAAAGCGCAGTTCTCTTCTGAGACTTTCGCACATTAGTTCAGTTCTCTCCAGATCAATTTTTAGATCTACCATTCCACTTTTCTTGACCACTTAAATATTAGGGAGTTTCAACTTCGTCCCCTCAGTTATTCATCAATGCAATGTCATCAGCGAAGCGTAGGTTACTAAGGTACTCCACATGAACTCGCTTCCCCACCAGTACGGTGGAATAGAGAGACAACAGAATCGAAAGTTGGGCTAGTTGGATAAGCGCTTGTCCTCTCTTTATGTCTGTTTTTTCGTGCGCTTTAAATGATAGTTATACCAGGAATAGAGAGAGCCTTGGCGCAAATGCAAGGATTTAAAGCCACTGGTCATGACAATCAGCCCACATCAGATCTGCCGAAAGGCGGACATATTATGTTAGAAAAAGCTAGCTACCCTGCACACGATCTGTCTCTTGACGATGAGGGTGCCAAATTCTAAGAATGCTAACATATTCTTCATCAGACAGGAGACGCCGAGGAGTTTAAAAATTACAGGCTGATCCTGCAGCTTACTGCCCGTTGTGTTAAAGTTGTTTACAAACATAGTAGCTAATAGAATTAGGACAACATTAGAGCTCAATCAATCAGAAGATCAAGCAGACTTTCGTACATGCAACTAAACATTAGCTCGTATTCATATACTATTCATAGAGTTTCGTACTAGAATACCCAGAGAGGAATCTGGCGCTGCGATCATTGTACTCCAATGGGAATGATGTAAAGTACATACAGGCTTCAGACTGGATTGCATTAGCTAGCCGGATCTTTTTCTTCAGTTTAGTTTCTCGCGCAGCGTAGGTGGCGGGGTACGGTCATGTGGGTGCGGTAAAAACACACAAGTAGCGTCTTTATTGTTCCAAGAGGCGAAATACCACTAGGTCTGTTGATTTGCTGTGACGCAAGAGCCTTACAAGTTGTATTTGGCTGTTTTAACAAAGCATCGTCTACTCTACACTGTGCATAGTGTATCGTCCTACGCTAGCGCAGGAAATAGCATGAAATTCACGTCTTTTTAATAGCGCGTCCTGCCAAACTCGTTCAAATTGACTGTAAACCAACGGCGAAGCTAAGCCGACGAATCATCACGATTCCCTGACTCGACTTCACAACAAAACGAGAAATGAAATGGGGGCAGACTACATAGACAGACGTACCCAGCATCGCAGCAGACGACATGCTGTTTCTCACTTAATACTGCACTGTTATTTTCATAAATGGATAATGCGTACTTTTGAGAGAAAAACAGGCATGTTTGTTTTCGAGTGTTGTAAAAATACTTCATTGTATTTTGATGCCAAATCTGGAACGCAGTCGCAGAGCGATGCGAACCCTGGTGGTCAACTTTGTCCAGCTTTCACTTATACGTCACGGTCGCGGAATCCTTTTGCAATAAGGTTTACGTTCAAAAGGATGAAGCAAATTTCAAATGAATGTAACTTCATATGACTTTATCTTACACTCGCCAAACAAGCGTTGCGAATCTCAAGAACGTAATCGCTCTGAAGCCGATTCGAAGCCTGTACTTCCCATTATTCACATAGGGGCGAAAGTGTCGCTGAAGGAGCCTGTGTAGACACTAGTGCCACACTCCACTCTAGGCATTATTCTATGACTATGCACACGAATAATGAAGTGATACAGAAATACGCAGTATATATATATATATATATATATATATATATATATATATATATATATATATATATATATATATATATATATATATATATATATATATATATATATATATATATTGTGAGCGCTGATTGTGTTGCTCATCATTTCACTTTCACCTGCGCATACAAAGCACCGTGATCATCATCATCGTAGCGGCTCGCTGCTTGTTCGGTTGCTGGCTCGCGCGTCTGGGCTGACAATAAAACGGTCGCTCCTTCGTACCTGACGTCGTCTCACAAGTGGTGGAGCGTGCTGTGATTCCCAAGTCCTCGTGCACTACCGGTCACCCCTGGAGCTCCGATCAGGTCGACGGCTGTGCTTGCCAACAGTGATGGCGCAAACGACCCACCCCCTACCGCCTTCTTCGCACCACCCGCTCAGCCTGCTGGGCCTCACCACACCGTGAGTACCTCGCAACGAGACCCTCCAGTGTTTTCTGGCCTTCGCGGTGAGGACGTAGAAGAATGGCTGGACAGTTACGACCGTACCAGTGCTTGCAATTACTGGGATGAGGCACATAAGCTGCGCTATGTACCCTTTTATCTGAAGGAGGTTGCTAAGACGTGGTATCATAACCACGAACGCGACTTTCCTGATTGGTCAGCATTCACGGTGCAGCTGCGTCAAATATTCGGCACTTCTACAGGACGCTCTGAGGTAGCTAAACAGAAGCTCGCTACCCGCATCCAGGGGCCTGACGAATCGTACACATCGTACATTGAAGACGTTCTGGCCCTCTGCCGCCGCGCCCAAAAGGACATGCCGGAGGCCGATCGTATTCGGCAAGTAATGAAAGGCATCAACTCCGTCGCCTTTAATGCTCTTGTCATGCAGAGCCCGACAACAGTTCAGGACATTATTACCACCTGCCAGCGCCTGGACGCACTTTACTCAATGCGCCTTCCACACGCCTCCTATGACACTCGTCTTACTGGCGAGCAGGAGCTGCGAGCTCTAATTCGCACCATAGTGAGAGAGGAACTTCACAGCCTTGTTCCTGCCAGCGCACCGACTTCACCTGCCCGCTCACCCCCTCCTAACCTGCGGGAAATTATAAAGGACGAATTGGCGTCGATGACGAGCGTCGCACGTGCCCCGCCTCCTGTGCCCTTACATGTGCCTACGTATGCCGAAGTCGTGTCACGGCCTCCTCCACCTACTCCACCTGTAACTACGGACGTCGTATACGAC